AGAAAAGCGTATTGGATTGTGAGAAAATCAATGTTTATCAATACATGCACAATCTCGCGTAATCTCGTTGCCGGGTGTCACCAAATATCGCGTGAGTTCGTATAGGCTTCGAGACCTTTCTTACCTGATTACATTTCCGACATCTGCCTGGTTCCAGCATAGAACCTGAGAAGTCACCGTGTAGACATTCCTTACAATATCGCGTACCACACCATTTACACATGTAAGTCTAAAAATAAATATAACGATACAGTCAATGTCATTTCTATAAATTGCGCCCTCTAGTGATAAAACGCTTCTTTGACGACAAAATGTCATGGCGGAAAAGACAAACATGTCAGTTTTCTGATAGTCGATAGAACGGAATTTTAATTTTGTGATGTCGATTGGTACGCTCAGAAACACAATATCACGCGTGAAAGTTTACGTTACACCCCAAAACGGCATGCGCGCGCATGCAAAAAGCCGTATCTTCGACTTCCGGGAAAGTGGTCTATCCTCGGGGGCGGACATCCGGGCATTTTCACCGTCTGGCAACCCGCTGCGGTGAAAACAAAGGCCCAAAACTCGCAGAAAACGGTACTTTGGGATGATTGTTGAGAGTCCCCTGAGCAGTGTAACAAGATTAGCCCTACGTGTGTAACATATATAAATTTGGTTGTTCGGGATTACTTCAAAGTTGAGTTTGTGTTGTTTTCTCGAATTTTCACCGGCTCGACCGGCGTTCCACAGCAGCGCGCACAGAGCCCATAGAAATGCATGTACAGTGGTGCGCGTCTTAGCAACGTAGAACGTCTTGTGACGTGGCTCCGCCCCGAGGATAGAAATAACAATGAGCGCGTGAACAACGCGACTTGTTTTTTCGTGTCTAACAGAATGTGGTGGTTTCCATGACCAGCGGAACAGTGGACACACTCCATGACGGTAGAGAGTGGAACACCATTTGGGGGCAAATACATTGTCTCGTGGCTTTCTCGCTCTCCACGAGATCTCAGCGGTCATTTGGCAATAAGGATTTTTTCAACTAGTATTCATGTCCATCACCTTGCAGAGTCTACGAGCCTAGGGAGCTACATAGAGCCGCAACAAGTGGGACGTTCTCTGGCGACTACCTAGCTTCGTGATAAAACACCCATAGTTTCTGCGAAGGAGAATGACGATCGTCGTGTCGCGCGTGTTTGTATTGTACCTGTGCGTTTAACATTTCAAAAAATATGTTAGCTCTTATTTTACATTACAATATCACTTGTATCAAAGCTTGATATAATCCGATATAATCCGAATCCCCAATTCTGTCAAAACACCTTTTTTTCAAAAGATGACAAGAAACAGTTTTTTTCTAAATACTAAGTAACAATTTGAAACGGTGTTACTAAGCTAGGTCAACTTGATATTTTCAGTGTTGATACTTCGTTTTTGTTATTGTATGTTTTTAAACAAAATCAAATTAAGGGTACTAAAGACATAGGCGTATGCATGGAAAGTTTAATTTATGTGTGAGACATGTGAAAGCCGACGTACGTGAAAGGGCGGCAGTCGTCGCGCCGCGTCCTGTTTGATATGGGACTCATAACGACGTATACAAGCGTGTAAAATACATTGTTTATTTACATGAAATTCCAACACGCGCTGCGCGACGACCACCGCGCTTGAAGTCAACTTGAAGATCTGGCCAAGTTGGTTGGCTGGTTCCCGCCTCAAGTGTCATGGCGTACCAAGCAAAGGACGCCGGGAACCAGCGAAGCCAAGCTGGCTGAGTTGCGCCCTCTTTGGGTCGTGTGTCATATGTGTACTCCGTAGAGGGCGCAACATTTGAACCGCCAGACTTCGAATCATCAAAGGCAGTATGTAACGTAATACAGTCGGCATTGTTTACGCTAACACTTAAAAGTTGTTTATACTTTGACCCTAGTAAGGCACTTCTCTATTCACAACGACATCGTAAACATTGATAGGGATGTCACGTGACATGTATGACATCAGTAATCAAAAAAGGTCACGTCAGCAACAATCACGCGTGAAAAAGGTCACGGTAACATTCCCTCCATTGTCCTGTTTCTAAGAAAAAGATTAAACCCTTCAACACCACATTTGTAGGTCACATGTAAAATGGTCGCCTTAATTCAGTAATTAGGACTGTTTTTAATTAACGCTGTTAATATTTCGTCCACTGTGAGTACGACTAATATCTGAAATGCGCATGCCAAGGTTTATCGAGATTTCACCATGGCAACGGCACTCCACGCAACTTACATCGGAGTGGGCACGAACTAAAGCGAATGGCAGTGTTTTAGCTACACTGTACTTCAGTAATTCTTGTCACATGGAGACCAACAATGAATAAAGAATGCGTTTAGTTGGCGTGGTTATCATTATTTTTATTTATTGTACATTTCACTCTGTTGCACGTGTGTTTGTTCGGCGATGCTAAACTCGGCACGTTACGTGAAATGCACAGTCAGGGATTAAATAGACAAATAATTGACGCGGTTAGGCGTAACGTTGAGTTCTTTCTACGATCTTTCTAAAAAAAAAAACGAGAACCGGAGTTCCCGGACGGGTTACCATTAAAGTGCGTCCCAAGAAACGCGTTGAGGATATTATACAAAGTTGTGACGTTTAGCTTGTAATATCACATGCCGATATGGTACGGTGAGCGTCACAAAATTCACGTTAAACGTCATCATTTTATGCGCATTTGAACAATACGCGGAATACCAAATCAATTCTCTGCTCATCGAATCCAGGCAACTGCAGGATCATGGCGCGTGACCCTTGTTACCGCAGGGTGTTACAAATCGTGCGGCGATACAGCATTTATTTCAGTGACTGCGTGGTGTATCGAGTCTTAGCCGTATTACTATCGACTGATTGCACGGCATCAAAATACTAGTAGTCGAGTCTCTGTTTACACGGAATTTCGGATTAAACTTCCCACGTACGAAAAAGTAAAAAAAACACACAAAACAAAACTACAGATAAATAGGCTATCCGTGCGCAATACTTTATTGTATAGTGTGCAGAAATAAGCAAAAATATTTATTAAATTAAAAATTAAGATTGGTATAAATGAATAAATACTACGGAAACCGAATGTGATTAGTTGGGTGGCTCGAATCCGTGTCCCTTGACATTATTGTCGTTTTGAATTAATAAGCGTGACGATGTCAATGACGTCGCTACTTCGATTTTCAAAGGGTATTAAAACGACAAACAAATCGACTCCATTAATGGAACACATTAAAACGCATTTATATACTGTGTCTATTGTCTTTCCCATCGCGGTGCTCTGTCTCAAATGACGCCGCGGCGTTTTACAGACACTGAGACAGAGAACCGAAGCAGAGGGCATTACCGGAGTACATGTGGGCCAAATAGCCGTTACAGTGCACCAGCGTACGTCGCTGATCGCCGGTGGTCGCGTCGAGGCGCGTCTACCTACGGATTGACCGTGGGGTTCACGTCGCAAAAAATGGGCATACACTCAAACACACGAGCTAGCGTAAACCTGTGAGTACTAACGAAATACTGAACTGACTTAGCGTTTGACGATCGCTAATGTTACGGTTTGTTTGTTTTTTGCATGGCAGCCCTGTTCTGTATGTACGCGGTGTACACTGTATTCATATAAACAGCGTTTAGTTGTTATTTGGTGTCGACTTACCGTGCTTGTTGTAGTGCAGCCCCACCGACACATGACTGCCGGCCTCGCTGACCACCGGCACCCACGGGTGAATCTAAACCGAAAGAAGACAGCCGAATAAAATCAAAGCGTGTCCGCCGTTGCTATATCCGTGATCACTAGGCATACACCACTTTATCAGTCCATTGAACCCGTCTTTATGGCATATACCCGGGAGGTGACGACAGACCATACCATTGTGTAATAGGGGTCGCTGCGTTCATTCGCGTAAATTGGACGGGTATGCGACGGTTATCTTATGTAACTACATAATCCAGTCAACTAAATGTAAAACACGAACCGTATATATACGATTTGTATAATTTAAACTGCCGGCCTTCTCGATAACAAGTTTGTTAACTGTATCCCTCTATTGTCTACTTGCCACACCCATGTATAATGTTGCGGTCCTAGTGCGAGCTCGAATCCGTCAGGTGGTATTTCACATTGAGCATGTCGTGCGAGTCGCACGTTTCTATAGTAACACAAAAACATGATTATCACAAACATGACACGGAGCGACGTTGCCTTCGCAAACAGATTTCATCTTTCTTGTATGTATCACGTCATACTTTCCGGTCACGTCTGATAAAGCGTTTTTTTGTTGTTTCTTTCTGCACCAGAATACCAGACACCGCCTCAAAAAAATACAACATTATGTAAAAGTAATATCGGACACGAATACAGAATTTCTGGTTATACAAGAAGCACAGTCATGATGCCATTATCGAATTGCATCGTGGGATATATGTGTCGATAGAAGGTGCTTAGTTGCAGCAGTTTGGGAAGAATTCAAATATATATACTGCACATGTATGCAATGCATTATGGGAAATTAACTTCAAATTTTCTACTACTGAGCATGTTACTGCACATATGTGCAATGCATTATGGGAGAGGAACTTCAAATTTTCCACTACTGAGCATGTTACTGCACATATGTGCAATGCATTATGGGAGAGGAACTTCAAATTTTCCACTACTGAGCATGTTACTGCACATATATGCAATGCATTATTGGAGATAACTTCAAATTTTCTACTACTGAGCATGTTACTGCACATATATGCAATGCATTATGGGAAAGAACTCATTTTATTCAATGGAAAATTACTAGTATTATCATACAGAAAACTCACTAAATTATAAGTGTTTTTTTTTTTAAATGTTTTAACAATATTAGAATTTGTACCAGTAATAATAGATGACTTTTCCATTCTATGTCAAAAAGAAAAAAATTGAAACACCAAGAAATAATTTCAGCACAGACAAAAAATATTCCTCTTCATTTTCGGTATCACTGCTGGTACTAAACCGTATTACACTGAGATTATTTACCATGATATCTTCGTCACATATCCTTAATCGTAGTCATCATGTATCATCGTGTGATCCTGTAACACGTCACAATAGCGTCATTAAAGACCGTGACCCCGATCTCCTTAAAAGTCATGTCAGTCTTAGCTAACAATCATGTTTTGACCTCATTCGTAAATGGTCAGCAAGATCTCGTTATGAGCGCCCTCTGGTGACGTTAAAGGTGAAGGGATGCTGTTCATAACGTTGATATCTGTGGGCGGTTGTCAATAAACAAATACTAGTAGTTTCAGATATTTTCTCTGCATAACGACGTTGCTTTCAGTCTTGGTTGGTTCTCGCCTCAGTGTGATTCGCAAGGGACGCCGGCAAAGCAGCAAACTTGCAGTCATGAATATCCCACTTTCCGGAAAGTAGCGAGACTGGGGTGCAAAAATACGGAAATACTAACATGTCAGTTTGTTGATAGTAGATAGACGTGAATTTTATTTTTGTGAAGTCGTACACCCAGAAACAAAGTATCATGCGTGCAAGTTTATAATACACCCACGGTATGCGCATGCGTGCAAGTTTACAATACACCCACGGTATGCGCATGCGTGCAAGTTTACAATACACCCACGGTATGCGCGTGCGTGCAAGTTTATATTACACCCACGGTATGCGCATGCGTGCAAGTTTACATTACACCCACGGTATGCGCGTACATGCAAGACATTTCTATCAGACCATCCATGATCAGACATATTTGCACTTAACATTGAGGCCACCCCACCCTCCACAAACTCTGGGATGGAGAGTGAAGCCACCCACGAGAACTGAATTTTACTAAAATCACTGCGATACCTTGGAACCAAGGTTAAATTCCCCAAACTCCTAGAAACTCAGTGAAGGTCATTTTTACTCCAAAACTAAAAGAAAGTTACTTCGACTAGACCCTACACCGTAATATCTCAGTGAAAGTCATGACCCCCTAGAACCCAAGGGAAAGTAATTACGACCCCTTAGGCCACCATCAAAAATCACAAAGTTTCGTGGACTAAAAACTTCAGTGAAATTTGCATGGAAAGCAGCTGTATAAAGAAAAACAGAATATCTATACAGATTGCTACAATGTACACAATAATGACAATACACCAATAAATTCAATTCTAACCACTCTTATATGGTTAAGTATCCAGCTCATTGACATTCAAAAGTGTCACTAAAACGGTTGATAAAAATACATAAAATACAAAAACAATTGTTTAAATAAAGGTTTATTATCTTGATAGTGAATTGAAATAGGGTTACCCATCATGCAGCGGTTGTGTCCACCAC